CACTGGAGAGGGGGAAAAAAACACATCACAGTGTAACTTCTTTTATTGTTTTTTTTAATTTGCTACAATATCAAATGGTGACATTTCATTTAGTTTTATTGGCTGTGGATAGTGTCACACTCTGCGCTGAAAAAAACTGCATGAAGTAGTGTTTTTAGCACACACCACAGCAGCCTGGTATTGTGAACTGTTCTGATTGAATACAAAGCTAACTGCCTTCGCTTTGCATTGGGACTGAGCTGGGCGAAGACCTGGTGTGAACAGACCTCCAACACAAATGCAGAATAAACTCATCCCACGTGGTATTAACACACAGAATAATTCATTTGGGCCCGGTTCACTGAAGTCTGAAATGAAATGTGTTCATGTCAAACATACATGCAATAATGTGCATAGGGAAAAAAAAAAGAAAGTATAGGACATGATTGGATGAGCACAGGTTTTTACATTTTAGTAAATGGGATAAAGTCCTGCATAGCACATGCAAAGGCACCTCCTTGAAGTGTTTGCCTTTCCTCGTCCTTCCTATACACAAGACACAAAAGGTCATATGCAGTTTTTATTGCACTCGGCCCATAAACTACTGTGATATCCAATCATGTCACACGGTCATATACATATAAATAACTTCCTATATTACTATGCAGAATCCACTATAAAGCCTAGAAAATCTAATGCTCAGAGTATATAGAAGATGCACAGCAAGGAGAGTAAGCAGAAAGTTTAGATTAAAGTGGATCCCCAACTGTGACAGTAGGATGTAGGTGTGAGTGATGGGGGGGGGACTTATTGCCGGGGGTCACACGCTGATGCCCATACTGCCCTTACATATATGTGTAAAGATTTGTAATCCTGTTCAGCCAGTCCTGTAGTGCAGATATCTCTGCCCCACTTCACAGCCAGGTCTCAGCCCTCCACTTTGTCTTAGGAAATCTTAATCAAGGACCAAGCATCAGATGCTGATTGGACAATAAAGGAGCAGCAACACATTGATAGGTCATCCCTGACTCACCACTCCAGTACACGTGTGGAAATCCACCTTCTTTGAAACACTAAACCTTATCCAGCATTTTTGTTCCAACGTGCAAGGACTTGCTTAAAATAGGGCACGTGTGCCCTTCGGCTAGTAATACCCAAGGAAGTAATTTGGGAAATAAAGTAGATGCTGTTTAAGTAGTATTAAACAATCAAACCTTTTTCAATAATGAATCCAGATCAAACAAATACACATTTTCCAGCAAAGTATTTATTTAAAATTTTCCCCAATCACTTACAGTGATCAAGTTTTTTAACAGCTCCAACTCTCTCAGCTCAGCTTCCCTGAATCTCCAGCAGCTGTCCATCTACGAGCTTGAAGAAGGAAGAGCAGGAAGCTGGCTTGCCGTGCTGTGTCTGCAAAGACACATGCAACTTACTAGCACACAAGGGTGGCTCCATAGAACCCTGTAAGGGGAAGGAGTCATCCTAAAACAGGATATTAGGGCCAGGGCTCTGATTCTGCAGTGCGTTCCGGCCTGATTCGGTGCTGGAACGCACCGGATCGCATCCCAGCCAGCTCACTGCGTTCTGGTGCAGGAGGGGATGTGGCAGTGCATTGAATCAGCACAGTGCGATCGCCCGCACTGGAATGCGTGGCACATCAATGTCTGCGTTCTGGTCCGATCAGAGAAAAATGGTGCATGCAGCCCCAGAACGCAGTGAGCCAGCCGGGATGTGCGTTCCGGCACTGAATCAGCCGGGAACGCACGGGGGCTGATGTGAACTAGCCCATAAACATCAAGAAGCAGCATTTGAAAAGGCTTAAAACCTTTAGACTTTAATATCACTTTTAATTCAGCTGTCATCAGTCTTAGCAGGGACAGTCTTTCTAGGACAGCATGGTGTTTACATTGCAATTTCTACAGTGGAGAAGTATTTAGTGTACTGCAACTCCCATCATTCACAGCTATAAGGGTGTAAGGTCAAAAATATGCTGCGGGAATATATTGTAATTTTGCAGCAATTTCAACCAAAATGTTTAAATAATGTAAAATATGAATGACATTTCTTTTTCTGGAATGGATTTAGAGACCCCGGTATTTATACGGTTTTACGTTTCAAATACAATTGATTCCTTTACAGAACAAATTCTTAACTGCAGCTGTAAAACATGAACATGTTTATAAGTTGATCAGCCATGTAATTTCATACATTTCAATGTGGCCAGTAATTCAGGGTGTCCTGAGCAGTACCAGTCACTGCAGCAGACTGCACCTTTGATGCAAGCAGCTATGGAAGAGATCTTGTCTAATAAATCCCATTAATGAAAGGCAACGCACTCTGAAGGAACATCTGGTTAGTTTTCACACAAGTAATGCATGTCAGCAACCTTCCTCTTTTTATCCGCTTATTTCAACTACAGTCTCTTCATTTAAAAAAAAAAAAACCACAAGTCACATTTCAATTTTTAATAAAGACATTAAAATATACATATTCATTTTTAACAGTACCACATGATACATTGTACAACATTTTTAACCTAAAATGGAAGCTTGATGCTTCAGGTACACTCCTATGTGTGCAGTCTTGCCCACGTCCTCCAGGTATGAGGAGTGGCATTGAACAGTATGAAATGCAGCTCCACCTGTAGTATTGGTAACTGATCATTATGATGACAGTACAGATCAGCCGCATGGCCACCAGGGCAATACACAGACCTGGCTTGGGGGGGGGGGTCATCTATGCTCTTTCATGCATTACAGTCGCAAGAATCAGTTGACAGCTAAAAGGGAGAGTAGCGTGCCACAAGCCAGTGTAGGAAAAACCTGCAGCAATCACCACAAGGTAATATAACCAATTCACTAGTGTACCAGTCCTAGATCTCTCCCGAGGCAGTAATAACCCCTGAGAAGGGTCAGCAAGGGCATGTCTGCAGGTGGCATGAGTCTAAAAGGGGCAGAATTATGAAAACTGGCAGGGGAAAAGAAAACATCACAAGTTCACCACAGCTGTAGAATTTGTAATAGTTACCAATTAAGTGTGGTATTCTACTAAACAAAGAATCTCCTCTCCACAATGGGCATGTTAACTGCATTGGTGGAGAACGGCCTGCTTTTATAATCTGATACTTACAAACAACTGCTGCCTGTCCTGATTGTCAGCAGCGGAACTGATCATCTTATGGCTGTGGGCCCATTAAACCTTCCCCTTTTTTGTTGTCCCCCATCTTCCCAACCCTCAGAAGAGATCATTTAGAAGATGAAATTTAAGTAAACACAGTGGGGGGAATCAAAGCAATCGCGATAGTTTTAGCCTCATTAGATTTTTATTTTTTTTTGTATGTGCAGATCTGTTTAGCCACTCTTTGTTTTAACTAGAACTTGCACAATTTTCCTGATTGCGCGTGTTATGCAAAAGTTTGCAACTGTTTACATCTGCACTTGCTCTGCGGCTGTCTGATACTGGAGCGTCACCTAACAAAACAATCGCCACTTAAGTCCCCATGACCACTTCTTCAAGAAGCGACGGTTACGCTTTTTGCCTGGGGTTACGAGTCTTCTTTCCTGGAGTCTATTTAATCTCATTTATGAACAACGTTACACTAGCAACATAAATCTGGCGTAAATTAGGGATGTTCAGATACCAAGTACCGTACTCATTACAAGTACAGATACTTTTCCAGCTCCAAGACTAGGCTATAGAAAAATTCAAAAGTTAGGAAGCAGCTGCCATTTGTAAGGAGCACACGGAGCTCCTGGGATTTGTACATCTCTGTTTTAATGTATGATTTTGTTTTAAATAAATATACATTAGAGATGCACCGATACCATTTTTGCAAGTACAAGTACTCACAGATACAAGTATAATACATTTTTGTTTATTGTCATGTGACATTTTTCCTAAAACAATACAGACAGTGGTGAAGAGCCAGAGCCAGGTCCCAGTTGCAACTGCTGCAATCCTGGTAGTTCTCGTGAAAATGCCAAGTATCGGCACTGGTATCTGAACATCCCTAGCACAAATATATCCCATGCAACCATATGAGAGTTCAAACACTCGCAATTGCTATGATAAATTCACCCCCATAGTGTATCATTGCTGATCTCCACCTGAAAATGTTAGTTGCCTAGCTGTGACCCACTTCCTTCAATAGTCTGCCAC